GGTGTCTGTTATTCAAAACCGATTCGCCTAAAATAATAATTATTTATATTATCTATTTTGACACCACTATATTACTTTTAAATATATGTATTTATATTAATTGGCACTTGACAATATCTAGTAACTGTATAACACTGTATCCAAAATGAAAAATATTGCAGAGGAGTCTCAAAGTCATTGGCAAAAAGAAAGGCGCTACAAATATATATGGATATGGGTCAACTGATATTTTTGAACAGCAACTATTAAGAATAGAACCATTTTAACATTAGGATCTATGACAGAAAAAAATGAAAAATTAATATAGGTAGGTAATAAACACATTCTATCATAATCATTACATTCCTTAAATATGTACCGATTAGAATATTATAATTATTAAACAAAAATTTTAATTTTCAACAACTTGCTAGAAACGCGTCACGTAACTGACAGCCCGGGACATTATCACTGATAACAGAAAGACGTTTATATCCATGGTATTTTTAACCTACGTTTAGTAATTGTTTTGCCGCCATCCTAATTCAAATTATAATAATGTATTTACCTATACTCCGTCCAAAAGTAGATACAAGTTTTAATATTATAATCCATCTTGTTTAGATCATAAATCGGATATTAACAATTAATACCAAAAGCGAGACGGAAATTAGTACATGTCGTAATAAAAAGCAATAATCATATCACTGAAAAAAAAAATTGAAACGATTACTACAATATGATTGTTATTACTGAAATTTTCGGTTACACCCCTGACAAATATGTGTTTAGTTAAATTTACTAGTTCCATTTAGTAAACTGAGATTTATAGTGATCACAGATAATTTGGGTTATATTATAAATATAGCGATTACTATATTACTGATATTATTTACAACAACTATTTGTTTTTGTAGTCCCTTGAGCTTTCCCCGGATTCCCGGATACGTTCTGCACATCGAAGCGTGGACCCGCTCCTCGATTCGCCATTCCAAATGCGCGCAGAACGCACGCCGTCGGGTGGATTTCCTCCGGCATTCTCACGGCCATGGACAACGTCGCTCATTAGCTCAGCCGAATCCCACCGCACGCTACAGACGCTACAGACGCTGCAGGTTCGGCACCGACCGGAGTCCGCCGGGCTCACTATCCATAAAATGTGATTAGGACATAATTCGACGCCCGGAGGCCGACGGAATGAGCGATCGATCCGGGCCGGCGGCCGCCACGCGTCTCCCGATCCACCGTTGTCAACGCAATCCGCGTTGTCAGGGGTAGCCGAGAACACGGGACGGCCCTACTACCGGGACGCGACAAGCAGCCCGAACTGGCCAAGCGGAGTTAGGGGCCCGTAGTCCCGGTTTTCCCGCCGGGAGCGACCCCGGAACGGAGCTCCCGACGNGAAATTTACTCACGCTGTCCTCTATGCATGACACACGGAAGTTCAACAAATTATAAAACCGGAATTATTTTTCATAAAACGTGTAATATTTGGACGTTTAAAATTAAAACTAATTGAAAAACATTTTCATGCAATTAGAACCCTTAAAAAAGTAAAAATACAATTGAGTTCTAAGATCTTTATGTAAGTTAATATTGATTAAAAAAATTTATTTTTATGATTCACTTAATATGAAAACACCCGAAAATTACAAGTTTTATTACGAATATTCTGTTGGTCGCACTAATATGCAACTGGCTGATCAACTAAAATCCATAAACATAAAACGCTACACTACAAAACGCCTGAGGTGAAGCTTTCGTTTATCACGAAGTCCTAACGGGAAATAAGAGATGAAAGCGTCTACAGCGAAGAGTATGGAATTGTGTGATATTTATTTCTTCTTCGTCTGAGAAAGAATCTTCATTATTATCACTATCATTAATATTTGATGTAGTGCTGTTAAAATGAATAATAAATTGTTATTATAGCCATCACTTGAAAAAAGGTGCTTACTTTCTTTCTTGTGATACTGTATTCAAAAAATTTAAAAATGGTACTAAATACCATTTTGAGGGTTTTGAAGAGGCACTTGCTCCAGTAATCATTTTTCTTGCCCGTTTATTTTTTAAATAGGCATCTTTAATATGTTTATACCTTCTCATGCAGTCTTCATCTAATAAAAATAAAATATTTATAACCGATTTCGAACAAGAGTTATTAAAATATTGTTCAATAATAAAAAACGTAATTTATAAAAAAAAATATAAAAAGGTACTTGTAACAAATTAAAAAATTAAACTTAAATTTGTTTTAAGTTAAAACATAAAACCCATCTGTATACTACACAGTATAATAATTAGTAAGCAGATTAAAAAAATTGCATTTCGTAAACGTTAACAAATAAAATATTTATAACATACATAGTTGTCGGTTATTTAGTTATTTGTACCTATTGTATTATTTGTGTATTTTGATTTAAATAAATAAAAAATGATATAAAACTCATGTTTGAATAACCGATGTCAACGAGTGTTCAAACATAAATGAAAACATTGCATTATTAATAATTATTATCAAAACGTCGTTCGTGGTGCGAACAAAATTAGATCGCCGACCGCGCCCGCGCGAGGAAAACGTACCTTTACTTAAACGTACCAAAAAAAATAAATTAAGCCTTTTCAAAAAAGTTGCTTAGATTTAATGAAAAACGATTCTGTTCGCAAACCTTAAGGTTTTAATACCGAAAAATCCTTGCTATGTAAAATTTAGCAACATCCTCGTCAACGTATTTATAAACCCTGTGATTATTTATACAGTATAAATTATACATAATTATAAAGTTACATTGAATTATAAATATTGATAATGATAAATACATATTACTAAGAAATTATTTATGTACGGGCATTCTAAATATAAAAAAAAAATCGACTTCAAATGTTTGGTATTGCGTAGATGAGTGAATAAAAGAAAGATTCTATTCTGTTACTGATCTTTCTCATTCATAAGAAAATATATCATTTTTTATTTTCATTACCTCACCCATCCCATCGCCCATTTCCTCAACCACATTCGTATCCAGTACGACCGACTTCCGCTTTATTTTATCACTGTCTTTAGAAGAGTAGTCGCCCCTGTCCCAGGCATCGTCCGAAGACGAAGAGAGTTGCAATTCGGTAGGCTCCCACTCTAAGAAGTCATCTTCAACAGAAGCGTCACCTGTCGTCAATGGCTTTAATGTTGGTGGTGTCATTTTGAGAGTTTGCAGATCACCCCAGGCGAAACCTTCAAACCACCTTAAATGCAAAATTATTTTTAATTAATTTTAAATCCCTATGTTTAAAACATTCTGAAATCATTCAAATTAAATTAATGTGACTTACTCGTGGTTTCGCAATTCAATCAACCTTTCTTCAGGATTATCACTGAAAAATTAATGTTTAATTCAAGATTACTTTTATTAATATTATTATTATTGTAAGGAGCGACTTTTTTGCACGACCGAAGATGAACAAAATACTCAAATAAAAGAAAATCATTGTTACAATTCAAACAAGATAATACCTGCACAAGACGGTAATGAACTTTTCGGCA